CAAAAACACAAACCAGCTGAGTTACATTAATGTGTACAGGCACCATAGAGAATAATGTAATTTCCATTGTCATGCAGTGCACATCAACAGCAAACGAAGGAAGAAAATGCACTAGTGAGAACAGAGAGTTATTGCACATCTGTTACAATAGAACCTGTATGGTTTCATGACCATAAAAGGACAGATATTAAAGTAGAACTAAAGACAGACTTCTTTTAATTTTGCATAGAGTTAGGGAGGGTTCTACACCCTGTGAGTTCTTTTCCCATTTTTGTCCCATTGAGAAGACTTTCCTTCACTTCCTGTCCTATAGCCACAACAGGAAGTTGTGGGATTCTATAATCAGGACTGATCGAATAATTTGTTGCCAGGATCGCCTCAACCAAATGGTTTGCTGTCTCCCTGGTGCCAGGCTTCGGCATGTGGTGGACAGGTTGATAAATTACTGGGAGGAGCTGGGCATAACCCAGCTGTCTTGGTCCATGTTGGAACCAATGACAGAATACATGGAAGGTGGAGACTCCTTAAGAATCAATTTAAAGAACTAGGCTGCAAGTTGAAGGGAAGGACCTCCAAGGTGATATTCTCTGAAATATTACCTGTGCCATGCGCAACACAGGAAGGACAGGGGGAGATTAGAGAACTCAATGCATGGCTAAAGACCTGGTGTAAGAGGGAATGATTTGAGTTTCCAGAGCACTGGGCTGACTTTTCATTGAGGTACAAACCATATGCTAGAGATGGTTTGCACCTAAATGGAAGGGGGTCTGCTGTGCTGGGGAAGAGGTTTATGGGATGGCTGGAGGAGTATTTAAACCAGGATAGAGGGGGGGAAGAACTAGATTACAATGGGGCAGACAGGGGTCAGTCCTTATTGGTGGGTGGAATAAGGAAAGATGGGACGAGGGCTATGGCAGGTGATAGGAAGGTTCCCATGTTGCAAACAACCATTGGAATTGGTACCATTTGTATGAAAATAAAAAACATGTCAAATACATGTGCAAAGGTGGAGACTCCTTAAGAATCAATTTAAAGAACTAGGCTGCAAGTTGAAGGGAAGGACCTCCAAGGTGATATTCTCTGAAATATTACCTGTGCCATGCGCAACACAGGAAGGACAGGGGGAGATTAGAGAACTCAATGCATGGCTAAAGACCTGGTGTAAGAGGGAATGATTTGAGTTTCCAGAGCACTGGGCTGACTTTTCATTGAGGTACAAACCATATGCTAGAGATGGTTTGCACCTAAATGGAAGGGGGTCTGCTGTGCTGGGGAAGAGGTTTATGGGATGGCTGGAGGAGTATTTTTAAACCAGGATAGAGGGGGGGAAGAACTAGATTACAATGGGGCAGACAGGGGTCAGTCCTTATTGGTGGGTGGAATAAGGAAAGATGGGACGAGGGCTATGGCAGGTGATAGGAAGGTTCCCATGTTGCAAACAACCATTGGAATTGGTACCATTTGTATGAAAATAAAAAACATGTCAAATACATGTGCAAAAGGTGTCGATTAATTAAAGTGTTTGTTCACCAATGCCAGAAGTCTGCCAAGCAAAATAGGTGAGTTGGAAGCTTTGGTGCATGAAAGGGAGCTATGATTTAATTAGTATTGCTGATTCTTGGCTTCATTATTCACATAACTGGGCCATTAATATTCCTAGTTATGTGCTCTTTCGGAGAGACAAGGTAAAAAGGAAAGGTGGTGGTGTCTGTCTCTATGTGAGAAGTGATCTCAGAGCAAGTGTGAAAGAGGACCTAGTTGATGGAGAGTGTGATGAGGCTGAAGCATTATGGGTGGAACTGCACATAGGGGTGTGTACTACAAAGGTAATCTTTGGAGTTTGTTATAGGCCACCCAGTGTAATGAGGAGGTGGAGACTCAGCTCCTTGCACAGATCAAAAGGGCTGCAAGGGCTGGGACAGTGATAATAATTGGGGATTTTAACTACCTGGAAATTGACTGGAATAATGGTACTGCAGGAACAGTTAAAGGGAAAAAATGTATAAACCTACTACAGGACAATTTTATAGTACAGTTCATAGAGGCCCCAACTAGGAATGATGCTCTGCTGGACCTGGTCATCTCAAACCATGTAGAGCTTATTACGAATGTCCACATAAAAGAACATCTGGGTAGCAGTGACCATAACATGATTTCATTTATTGTTAGCTGTAAACAGCGAGCACATACGGGAACAATAAAAGCACTCAAGAGAGCCAATTAAGAGAGCTAATTTTCCAAGGTTGAGAGCTGCTCTTCAAGATTTAGAGAGGGAATTTTTTACATTGATGAACACAACAAAGAAATGAGAGTTAGTCAAAAAGACTGTATGTGAACACACTGCAAAATATGTAGAGGAAGAAGTGAGTGCCTGAAAATAAATATGTAAAAGCAGTTAAGCACACAATGGGTAACCAATAACCCAATAAATTAAGAATATCTAAAATAGGATCGTGCAGCGCTGAAACAGGTATATATATGATGTCCAAACGGACAATAAAAGCAACTGATATATAACCCAATTGGAGGAAATAAATAAATCATCAAATAAAATTATAAAATTATAGAGAGTTTCAATAAGGTGACTTAGTGAATCTTGGTCCGGCAAAAGGTGCTATAATGGTGTAAGTAATGCGCACTCACCGGACGCGCATATTAATAGCGCTTTATATAATCAATCCAGATGTCATCTGTTGGGGTCTGAAGCTGAAAGTTCTTCCCTCTAAGGGATGGGTCATCAGGTAGTGTACCAAGCACTGGGATATCCCAGGTGGAGGCCACTGACAATTTTTCCCTACTCCTCTTTTCTGACTGTTTCACTAGTTTTGCATTTGGCTAGGGTCAGTGTCACTACTGGTAGCATGAGGCGATACCTGGAGCCTACAGAGGTTGCACAGGCAGTCCAACTCCTCCAGGATGGCACATCATTACGTGCTATTGCCAGAAGGTTTGCTGTGTCTCCCAGCACAGTCTCAAGAGCATGAAGGAGATTCCAGGAGACAGGCAATTACTCTAGGAGAGCTGGACAGGGCTGTAGAAGGTCCTTAACCCATCAACAGGACCGGTATCTGACCTTTGTGCAGGGAGGAACAGGATGAGCACTGCCAGAGCCCTACAAACTGACCTCCAGCAGGCCACTGGTGTGAATGTCTCTGACCAAGCAATCAGCAACAGACTTCATGAGGGTGACCTGAGGGCCCAACATCCTCTAGTGGGCCCTGTGCTCACTGCCAGGCACCATAGAGCTCGATTGACATTTGCCATTGAACACCAGAATTGACAGGTTCACCCTGAGCACATGTGACAGACGTGAAAGGGTCTGGAGAAGCCATGGAGAACGTTAAGCTGCCTGTTCAGTATGACGGTTTTGGTGGTGGGTCAGTAATGGTCTGGAGAGGCATATCCATGGAGGAATGCAGAGACCTCTACAGGCTAGACAATGGCACCCTGACTGCCATTAGGTATTGGGATGAAATCCTTGGACCCATTGTCAGACACTACACTGGTGAAGTGGATCCTGGGTTCCTCCTGGTGCACAACAATGTTTGGCCTCATGTGGCAAGAGTATGCAGGCAGTTCCTGGAGGATGAAGGAATTGGTACCATTGAATGGCCCCAGCGTTCGCATGACCTAAATCCAATAGAACACCTCTGGGTTATCATGTTTCGGTCCATCCAACACCGCCAGGTCGCACTTGAGACTGTCCGGGAGCTCAATGATTCCCTTGTCCAGATCTGGGAGAAAATACCCCAGGACACCATCTGTCGTCTCATTGTCAGGCATGCATTGAAGCACATGGGGGCCAAAGAAACTACTGAGTACCATTTTGAGTTGCTGCAATTAAATTTCAGCAAAATGGACTAGCCTGCTGCATCATTTTTTCACTTTGATTTTCAGGGTGTCTTTCAATTTAGTCTGCATTAGTAACGCATTGCCTAGTCCATATCAGTATAGATATCCAGCATGGTATTTTTCCCCAGATCTGATGTGTTTTCAAAGTGTTACTTTTAATTTTTGAGCAGTGTATTTATAAATGATAAAGGGTCTGGGATTAAAAATCCCATTTCAGTCTTTGCAGATGACACCAAGCTGTGCAGTGGAATAATATCCTTACAGGATGTCTCCAACTTACAAGCCGACCTCAATGCACTGTTTAATTGGGCAACTATGTGGCAAATGAGGTTTAATGTTGATAAATGTAAGGTTATGCACTTGGGGACTAAGAATATGCATGCATCATACATACTAGGGGGGTACAACTGGGGGAATCAATGGTGGAGAAGGATCTGGGAGTTCTGGTAGATCACAAGCTTAATAATGGCATGCAATGCCAAGCTGCAGTTTCTAAAGCCAGCAAAATCCTTTCTTGTATTAAAAGAGGTATAGACTCCAGAGAGAGAGATATCATATTACCCCTATACAAATCATTAGTAAGACCTCATCTGGAATATGCAGTTCAGTTTTGGGCACCAATTCATAAAAAGAATATTGGGGAACTGGAGAAAGTACAACCAAACTGATAAGAGGCATGGAGGAGCTCATCTATGAGGAAAGATTAGAGGAATTGAATTTATTCTCTCTTGAAAAGAGGAGATTAAGGGGGGATATGATGAACATGTATAAATACATCAGTGGTTCATATAGTGAACTCGGTGTAGAGTTATTCACCCTGAGGTCATCACAGAGAACAAGGGGGCACTCTTCACGTTTCTTCACAGTAAGAGCTGTACAAATGTGGAATAGACTCCCTCAAGAGTTGGCTCTGGAGAGCTCAGTAGACTGCTTTAAAAAAGACCTGGATTCTTTCCTAGGTTCACAGAATATAACTGGTTACTAACATTTTTAGATAAAGTTGATCCAGGGAATATACGATTGCCTCTCAGGGGATCAGGGAGGAATTTTTCCCAGCAGGAGCAAATTGCATCATGCTTTGCTGTTTTTTTTTTTTGCCTTCCTCTGGATCAACTGCGGGTATAGGATTATAACTTTTTTTTTTTGTGGTTGAACTAGATGGACTTTTGTCTTTTGTCAACCAGACTAACTATGTAACTATGAAGTGGGAGGAAATACCTACAAAGCGAGGAAATCCCTGGTTGTCCCCAGGATCATCAGAACTAGTGTCCCCATTGGATGATTTCCTTTTTATTCCTGTTCTGGTGTTCTAATCCCTCTCCACTCTATCCAAAACTAAAACAAAAACCTTTGCCTTTGGTTATAAATTAAAGTGGAACTTCACTCTCTTAATCAACATTGACTATTTTTGCTAGCATTAGCAAATAGCAAAGTATATGATATTTACTTGTTTTAAACTTTTACTCTACATTTCTTCAGTTACTCCCTGGTTGCCAGGCCTAGGCAAATTATGTCATACATCCCAGCAGTCTTCAGGAGGGGAGGAGGGGTTTTCTTAGCTAAGCACATCCTCCTGCATTCATGCCTGAGCTGAGGGCCGATGGAATCCAGGGAGTAAATGCTACATGAATCATCTGCCCTTACTCAAGATGGCCACAGCCAGAAATGCTAGGGGTTTTTTTCCAAAGTGAATTCTCAGCAAAATAAAGCATGGAGATATGGATGGATGGATGGGTGGGTGCATTTGTGCTGAATATTAAATTAAGCTGCATTTTTGGTTTGTGGTGCTGAGATACAGTGTAGTTCTGCTTTAAATACAACACCTTTTCACAATCTAAGGCACGGGAAAGATTGCTTTCGTAGATGCTGAAAAAATTATTTGACTCAATGGGGTGGGCATACCTACATACAGGCTCCCTCTGAATCTGGCTTTGGACCAAATGTGATATGAACTGACTGTATATGTTTTCCCTGCAGAAGATCCTCCCACATAAGTATGTATATAACTGTTTTTTATGCTGTATTTTTTTCTTTAATCCATATTGTACTTCTTTTAACATGTCATTTTGTATAACAATGTACAACCCATTTTGTATTCTATCTGCATCACTCTCCTTTCTCTGTGTAATTTTGTAGTCAAATACCTCAATAAATTGTCCTGTTACAAAGATTAATACTAGTTTACGTAGAGAGCTTTTATTTGAATCTATACCTTTATTTCTTACCTCTTTACCTATCTGATCTTAACTATTCCAAAAAATTATTTTTGTCAAGTGGGGCAGCAATTACTGTACCGATTGAACTATAGGAAACACATTGTAACTGTGCATGCATGTGACAGGTTTTAAATATTTAGTTGTTGGATTGCGTTCCTCTCTATGCTCCCGAACTTAATTGCATCCCAGAAATGGATCCTACTACATTTTTTTCCTATCAGCAGCACGACAACTGATACCATTATTTTGGAAGATAGCTGTTACACCCCTGTGACTCCATTGTCACCCTCTGTACAGTGATATAATTTTCCTTGTTATTATTATTTTGGTCCAGGGGCAGACTGACAACTCATGGGGCCCCCAGGCAATAGGGGATCATGGGGCCCCTGTGTACTTGCCCAAACTCAAAAAAGCCTATGAAAAAGGTACCAGGGGCATCTCATGGGACCCCCTACTGACCCCGGGTCCTCGGGCAGTGCGCAAGTTTCCAAATGGTCAGTCCGCTCCTGTTTTGATCCTTAAGATTCGCTTCTCTGCTGATCTCCTTTTCTTTCTACCCCTCTTATTTGATCACTTGGTGGTCATACTCTTCTTTTTTTCCTCTCTCACTTATTTCTTTCTCTTCTTTATAGTCAATGGTGCCACAGTGCCCGCTGTTATTACAGATATGGGGCTTTACTTATTCTCCCACATATTGCTTATTTGTCAATATATGCATGTTGCATAAGCTCTACCAACTGTTTCTCTACTCTTGAATGAGCAGTTAAATGGTGAATGATAGATAACACTTAATAAGGTGCATAGAGCAGTCCAAAACTGATATTACAGTCTCTTTCTTCCAACATTTAAAGTAATGCACCAGTGTCGTCAACGGGTGTGCAAATCTATCGAGCTCCTCCACCTTCAGCCATGCATGCCCACCTTAACAGCTTACCCATAGAAAATATAGGCCAAAATGCACTCAATATGAATCGCACTGGATCCTCTCCTTCCAGAGGTCTCACCAGGCACTCTCAGGAACAATCCTTTACGTCCCCACACCGATGGATAGGTGCTCAAAAGATAAGGAACTCCTCATAGTGTAGTAAGGCTTTATTGCCATAAAAATGTATAAAAAATGCCACTCACATAGATACGAGGTTCACAGAACCTATTGCAAGCATTTAAAGGAAAAACAGAATGAACACAGATGGCGGCTCCGGCACGCACCAGAAAAGACGTCACAAGCTTCCGTCCTAAGCGTTACGCCACAAGTCCCGTGGCTTCTTCAGAGATCATTCACCATTTATCTGTTGTTTATATATTCAGTAGAGCTGCTTATCTTTTATTTTTACCCTTTGAGGACCAAGAGACGTATTTGTCCCATGATTTTAATTGCCTGTATCATCTGATTAAGAACTTAAAATACTTTTTTTTTTTTGGTTTGAGTCAAAATATTAGTTCTTATCAACAAATGGATCTAGCTTTTTGCCAATTATTTCATGAAATGGCTTAGTTACAGCAACTGAAGTGTACGAACTTTAAAAACAAAAAATTGATTCTTTTGGCGGTCCGTAATCTTATGGTCCTCAAAGGGTTAACGCACTTTTTGTGAATATCCAGCTCAGTTGAACATTTACTTGGTTCATCATCACATACTTATTCCACTGGAGGGCTGATTGCTCAGCCGGGCATTTGTTTTACATCATTTTATACTATTTTTGTTGATTTTGACACATTATGCTTTAGGTCAGCTGAGTGTTTATTACAGCTCAGCCAGGTGTTTACTGACATTGTGATTGTGTTTTATTGCTGATATACGTTTCACAGATTTCACTGTTTTTGTTGTTTTTTACACTTTATTCTTTAGCTCAGCCAGTTGTTTATTATAGGGTGGCCAGGTGTTTATTGCTACTTGATTTTGGTTTATTTTTTATATATGTTTCACATATCATTTGGATTTAGTGGCTCAGCTAGTTTTTGTTTTTTATTTACAATTGACCTTGTTTCACAGATTTACTCTATTACACATTGGGTTTGATGCTCAGGAGGGTGTTTACAATTAATGTATTTTCTTGGGTCACTAGGGGGGCAGCGCAGCACTATTCTCTTATTTACCTCTAAATATTTCTTTATGGGTTTAGATGCAGTTCTCTACTACCAGATTTGTACATACACTTTTTTAGCTTTAATTACATATGAAAGTGCAATAATTGCAGAATATTGCTGTAAATAGATTCTTTCAGTTGTATAATTCTATTCAAAATACCATTTTCCTTACATTGGGTCTCCTTGTATTTTCTCCACTTTCTGTCAACATACATTTGTACTTGCTTCTACAGCCTTTGACAAGTTTTATTAAAGGTTACCTTTACTGAAGTTGAATCCAGCATGACCTGGCTGTATTTGGCTCTATCTTTGCTGTACACAAGCCGCTCATGGCCACTCACAGTTAGAGGGAGCTGTCTGGAGACAGGAGACCTGCTCTGCATTGGGTGGAATGAGAAACCAATCTCCCAGAAGATGTTTCAGAGCAAAGTGGGTTGTACTCAGAGCCAGGAGACTGCAGGAAATAATACTGGACATAAAACGTTTATCCAGAAAAGGTAATACAACGTACAGTATACCATATTGAAATGTTTTTAAAGGCTGATAGAACAAGTACAAAAGTAACATTTTTACAGAGCATGCTGTTATATTTTAAGGTCCCAGTCACACCTTTGCATTCTGGGAATGCATGCAGAAGCACATGTTTCTGTGCACATTCTCACAAACGCACAAAAAATGTGCCAAAACTCACACTGCACTTGTGGTGCCACTAATTTGTAATTGCACCCCAAATGCAGGAGCAGTGATATTGCAAAAACTCACAAGGCAGGAGTTACTTGTGCAGGAGCTACTTTGGTGCGCTTGTTCAGTGTAGGGCAGCCCATTCAATTCAATGGGCTGCTCCAGGCTAACTTGCAAAAAACGTGCAGTTAAAAAAAAAAAAGGGACGTGCAGGTGTGATTGGGGCCTCTGTGTCTTCCATGTCCTGCATATTACTTTCTACAAATATGTGAGTAGGTTAACTGGCCTCTCCAAAAAAGAGGTCTTCCCACAATGAGAACATCTTCTCAGAAGGAACTCTCCAAAAAGGCAGACAGCTGTAATAAATGATCATGATAAACATCTGGCAGGTTGGTTACTTTACCTTTTGACAATAATGTCCTATACCACGTATCTTGAAGGAGCCCATTGGCTGTATGTTCTCCAGTTTTATGAGAACCGGGGTTCCAGCCCTCCTAGACAGTGCAGAGCTTTCCTTCAGTGGGGTGACAATGTGAAATGGAACTTCATCCTGGGAATCCATGATTGGTGGCCCTATTTACTGTTATTGGGAGAGGAGAAATTAGTCTTCATACATACTACAGATAAAGCATGTTATTTTATTTTTTCTGGTGGGGTATAGCTGTGTGTTTATGCACGCTTGTTAATGTTGAGGCTGCACATTCATCTGAATGGACTGCTGACACACCAAAACCAAGACCAATAAACCAACAAAGACCATTTTTCCCAGCGCAATACCCCCAATGCACAGTAGTGGGTTGTCATGTGCTGCAATGCATATGGCGTTGCCTTAGTAGGTTGGCGTGCCATTTAAAAATTAACTGCACCAAAAAGCACTAATTCATGTATGTTGCGTTGGCGTGCACAACTGGTAGCTATGAATGGTGATGGCTATTTGCTTTTTAAAAAGAATTCCGCATGTGGCATTTTTTATATAGTTACTTGGTCCAGGTTTTTGTAATTATGCATGTACCATACCTATAGGATCTCTCTAGAAGCTGGAATTCAATGTGCTACGCCAGAGATCTACGCTAGCATCTGAGTCCTGTGACAAGTAGTTACCCTGCTACATTGTGAATACAAGAGGTCGGCAGCCATTTAAAGAATGCTTTGCAGTGTTCTCTGACTGGATGAGAAGAAAGTGTCATCACTGCCCTGCCTCTCCCCTTCATCCAATCAGAGAATGCTTTGCATTCATTAAGAAAATTCAAAACGATCTCTGAATGGTGCCCATGCCAAGCGGCCCCACCTCCTCTAAGCCAGTGCAGATCATTGTCATAGTGGAGTCTACTACAGTGATTTCCAGCTTTTTAGAGGGATCCCACGGGGTGTACTATATATGCATAATTACATTGGTCCAAGGTGGACCAATGTAACTATGAAAAAAAAACAACCATACCTGGAATTCACCTTTAAGCTTGTTTTAAAATTTGCCTAAAATTGATTTAAAATGTAGTTTGTGATTTGAAATAGTTGCCCCAGAAGGTACAGTATAACAAAAATGTAAAATCAGTTAGGCCTTTCATTTCAACTAAAGAAGATTTGCAAATGTATTATATAAAGTGTTTCTAAACCCAAGTAAAAATATTAGAGATATATTGCAGCTTACTAATTCTTACATGTGTTGGCAGAATTAGCTTTTTTCCTTTTTTTCACCTTGTCATCTCTCCAGTAATACACTTCCTGTCCTAATGCGACACCCTAGAACAGGACTTCAAAACCTTCCCCTCTCTTCTTCTTTATAACATAGAGGGAGGGATGTTCTGTAGTCCTAACTTACTGATATCATTCACAGATCCATAGCTAAAGTGATAGACATATTTCACTCAAAACAATGATGTGGTTTGGTCATACTGTCCTATGCCCTATTGATTCATGGAAAGTATCAAAAGACTGGTACACTTTAAATCATCTGTAAGCATTTTAAATAAGTTTAAGACTTTAGGAGTTACAAGAGAAACCAAAAGATAGATTAATCCTGCATGGAAATGTGCTAGCAATAAGCAATCATTTAAATGTGAAAGAAGGAGCTTGGCACACTTTGGAAATGGAGACTGTAGATGATAAATAAGTAATAAAATCAAAGACTGGGTTGATTAATGTGTATTACATATTAGGTGAAACACATCCTTCCATATTTAACTCAGGCGTAATGACACAGAATAGCTTAACGTGCCACACTCATAAATTCTTTTCTGTACACCGAAACGGAATGGCACCGTGGCTTGGCTTCAATGGACATTTTTTTCAAGGTTATCTAAATTCTTTAGATATTATTTAGGCTTTGCTCTATTATGTAAGCACAATGAAAAGAAATACGTAGACAGAAAGATTTGTGTATATCTGTTAATTACAGCAGTAATTGACCACTTTGTGATATTGCGTGCACCTTTTGCCAGTAAAAAATCATTTAACTTGAGATTAAAAATACACATCTATGCATTTTAGTAAGCACACATCTTGTCTGTCACTTCCAATTTAACCCTATGGGTAACCCTAAAGGCAAATAGGCTATTCAGAGTTTGGTAAATGTGGTGAATGTTCCCACTTGTGTGGGAGAAAAATGGTAAAAAATTGCATTTTTGCCTGCTCATGATTGGATGATGAAAGTCAGCAAAGCTTCACCGCATTCACTAAGCTCCAGGGAAAATTTCCTGGCAAAGTGCAACGCCCCTTACAAAGTGAACGGTCTATTGCCTTTAGTAAATTACCCCTGTATCTGTAACATGAATTGGCTTTAGAAGGCTGTTAACCCCTTACCTGTTGCAAGTGTTATGTAGTATCCTATAGATCCAGACTCTGAATGTGTTGGAATGTGTGATAAGATAGAACATTAGTTTCTTCCTGAGATCAAGGTCCTGAAGGGAGTGCCTGATTGAAGGAGGAGGTTCAAGACTCGGACATCAGTGTAACTCTATCTTCCCAGGAAACCACTAAGGATCCTAGTCATTTTCAGTGGGATTGTGATCAAATATTCCCTTTACTACTGAAAAGATTGCTATAACATAAAATAGATGTATGCAGCCAATTACATTTATTTTAAATAAGCCAAAAAAATCTGCTTTAGGTAATTATACAACTTGCTGAGCACCATTAATGGAGAACTTCAATCAGAATAAAAATCACCAGTAATAATAATATTAGTCTGCATGCACTTGGCCTGTCTACAGCAAAACATGCAGCAAATGTTCATGAACATCAGCTGAGAGCTAATTCCTTTAATGATAGGAAATGGGTAAAGGGAGGGCTCATTCATGGATGGATATGCACTAGGCTAGGGTTTATTTACTAAACTGGTTCACTCAGAATCTCGTGCACTTCTGCATAGAAACCAATCAGCTTCCAGGTTTTATTGCTAAAGCTTAATTGAAAAAGCTGGGGTTAGGAACTGATTGGCTACCATGGATAGGTGCAGGAGATTCCGAGTGATCCAGCTTTAGTAAACATACCCCACTGTGGTGTCCGTTTATGACACAGAGAATAGCTGCGATTCAGTGGATCGCAGCTATTCTCTGGTCATTCACAGTTTCTGACACTCAGGAGATCAGCGGAGAACATGTTCAGCCCTTCACTGGAGATCTGTGTTCTCCCTCCAGATTCTCCAGCCCAGAGCTGGAGAATCGGAGGGACCGCAAACTAAGCAGCGATAATTTACCTCTGTTTAGTAAACTGATCTTTTACTGTAATCTCGTGAGATTATAGTAAAATCAGCCATTTTCCAGCATTTGTAGACCGTTCTCCAGCGTTTGTAGACCATTCTCCCTTCATTCGGAGAACTGCTTCATAAAAGGCATTCACAGAACTGTGTTCTCCGAGAATGCCGGAGAACTGAGCAGCGATCATTTATCGCTGGTTCATAAACGGACATCTGTGTTATCCAGGACCAGCATTTCTTCCTCAAAATAAGGAACAGGTTTGGTTGTAAAAGGACATTAAGTGGCAACATAATAAATAAATTTGATATTAAAGCGGTATTAAACCCAAAACAAAAAATTATTAAATTGCAGCTTACCAATTCCGATTCTTAGATGTGGTGGCTGCTTTCATTTTCTTTTTTAAGCCTTTTTTTACTTTATTTTTGCCTAGTGTTCCTGCCAGTAAGTTTGCCATTTTTTTTATTTCTTTAACAGCCCAATCTATCCACCAAAATTGGCAGAGAGAGGGTTGGGACAAACCATTTAACCCCCCTGGCGGTATTCCTGAGTGTAGCTCGGGGTAAAGTTTCAGTACCAAAAGCGGTAACCCCGAGCTACACTCGGGCTTACCATGCGGCGCTGCTCCGGGATCCCTCGATCACTTACCTTGTCCTTTGCTCCCGCTATGTCCCTCCTGCAGTGTCCCCTGTAATGTACTCCGGCGGATGCCAGCATCTGTCATCTGGGTTCCGTCCCCTGAGACGTCGGGACGTACGAGGGACGGAACGGCGGGAAATTTGAAAATGACATACTGTGACATTCACTCAATACACTAAAATCACATAGTAAAACATTACTGTATCAAACCATTTCACATACATTTTGTCCCTAGTGCTTTGTCCTGTGCCCTGCCTGCATTTTCTGTTCTCTGTGCCTGGAAACTGAGAAACATCCATGGCGTCCAAAAAGCGTCCCTTTAGGTCAAAATCGGTTTTAGACCAGCTAGAGAACAGCAATAGTTAATTAGAACTACTTGCAGAATTGAGTGATAATGATTTGTGGGGAAATTCGTCATCAGACACTGAAAACGATTTTGCGTCTTTGCTCATTGATGTGCGAACTTGGCGCTATATTTAAAATTTCAGTGTTTTTGGTTTGATTATATTATTGAAATAAATTTATTATTATTATATTATTATTTTTTATGATTATTTATTAAATTATAATTTATGATTTTGTGTTTCGAATTTTAATATTGCCGGGATGTTTACTAGACTCTTGTTCGGACAGATTTCAGTGAGTTATTCCTAAAAATTACAGGCCTACAATAAAAAAAATACATATTTCCATGCAAAACAATGTACCGCTTTCAGCACAGAAATATGGACATAATCAACCGCCAGGGAGGTTAAAGCAGAACTAAAGCTCTGCTGTCACAAGCTGTGAGCATGCAGTTGACATGCATTGCAAGAGACATGCAATGTCTCTTCTGCAATAAAATACAGGGGTTGGACAAATGATGGAAACACCAGGTAAAAGAACAAAATTGCTACCTAATATGGTGTTGGACCACCTTCAATATTGAAGACGGCCTGAATTTTCCTGGGAATTGACAAATATAATTCTTGGATGGTGAATATGGAAATATAATACCACTCTGAATGCAAAAATCTTTCCAATTCTCGCAGAGATGCCAAAGGCGGAAAACAAGCCCAAACCTTGTTCTCCAAAATTGACCATAGTGGCTGTATGATATTGAGGTCCGGCGACTGTAGCACCCAGGGAAGGTGCGGGACTTCACTATTGGCACAAGACAGTCCTGGTTGTAAGCATGGGATGGTGTTCACCACATGTAAACATATCCAGTGGTTGGAAACAGTGTGAAGCT